ACCGATTTCGGCTGGGAACTACTTATTAAAAGTTATTTTTAACTTGCGCACCAATTACGGTGCGCTCCCGGACTTTGTCTATGGAGGTACGCAGGGCTGTGGTGGGGACATCTATCAACCAAACGCGTCCCCTTACACACAGCACTGTACGCAGGGCTAGCCTCACACAAACACTGAGAGCTTCAGCGTACCACATCACAAATAGTCTAGACCTTATTGTTAGGTCACAGGCAACTTGAAGAGTCTCTTACCTTCTTTGATTGTCGCTTCGGCATTTTTTAAAATTCTTCCCTAGAAACAGATCAATTATAATACGAAACCATGCAGTACAACACACGTGTTCACGCTCAACTTTATCTTTGCTGAATCCTCACTGTGACCCGGAAGTGAACTGGGTATGTTTGTTTCTGTATGCTCACCTCTTGGGACAAGAATATTTGCATCTTTTCTCCTAATTAGTTACGATGACGGTAGGTAAAATGTAAAATTTTGCCTATATTCACACTATGCAGTATAACAAGAGTATGAGAAAGGCCCGTTATTGCAGTGATTTCCCGTTGTTGATGTCTTTGTTATTGTCTTTGTGTTTTCGCAATGCATTGTGGGAAGCTTCATCAAATATGGCAGACCTGGGTAGGAGTTTGCGGTAATCGAACCGAAAAAATACATCTTTACGGCGTGTGGAGTCCAGAATTTCGACTTTGCATTTATCAGAACCGGAAATAATATCATCTTTGTAAGGTAGGTTCCGCACATTCAATGGTTCTGCTTGAATTATTTTCAGAAAATAATTTTATTGCTCGGTTGATGTGCTGGAATTGAATAACAAACGAATATTTCCTTTGAGGTGCGACAGATTACAGGTTGCTATCGAAGCTTTATTCATAATAATGATGGTGTATATTTAATTAGATCTAATACTGTCACTTTTTCCTTCTGTTTATAGTTTTATTTTCAGCTCTGTCATGACAGACAAGGTGTAAAAATTGTTAATAACACTGACAGGTCAATGCACTTGAATAATAAATCTATTCTAAAAATCCTGAGTTTTCCTAAAAATATTTAATAAATCACAATTTTCGATGTAGAATTTATATATAAATATTTATTGTTCTAATACACATTAGTTCTAGAATATTAATTCATGAAAATTGGGCAAATAGTATTGCTATATAATGTTAAGGTCAACATATATGTAGCTCTTCCATACAATACCTGTGGAATTCCATAATGCAATAATTTCAGTGCACACTAACTGTTCAACAATAATTATGTAAAATGTTATTGGACTCCAATTGACGCATTTAGCAGATCAACATAAGTTTACACATCCCTTCATTACTCAGGATAAATTTCATTCAAAAAAAGTTTTTGTGTTCAAATCCAAAGATGCATACTCTTAAAGGCCCAGGTACACTATAAATACGCTCCTAAACAATATTTCCTTGCTTGTCACGCTGTAGTAAACAGCTCCTGCCAAGCTCTGGTAAGGCGTTTTCTCAAACTTACAGGTCGATTATGTCGTGCCAAAGTGGATGCACGTGACTATGAATATCATAGCAGTGACTGTGTGTAGTATTTATGACAATAAATAGTGTACGAGCTGAGATTTTGGTGGATAAAAGTAAAAAACATGAAAAGGGGCGTGCGACTAACCTTGAATAATTAACTACTGTCAATCAAAGTCACATAATGATGAACCGCTGAAACAGGATGCGTCATAGGCTATGCAAGTGATTAACAACACTCATTAGCATAGCCACAGCTCCAACTCACACTTGCCCGGGGCAAGTGAATTGGGCTTTTAAGACCAAAAATTGACTGTTGGCTTAAAAACCAGGGTTCATTTCCAGAAATATTGTAGAATAAAAGAGAAAGTGCAGAAAATTCGAGCGAGAAAGTGTGGAGGTGAAAAAGTTAAACCATAGATATTGCAATTCTCTTATCTTGTGCAATTACAGCATTATTTATAATCAAATATTACCA